TTGTAATCCTATCTAATTGTTCTCGATGACGATTGACAGCAGTGCACTAATGAGGTTCAAGTAAGACTTGTCTACAGTGTAAAGGAGTGGCATTTTCGCCTGGTGATATTTGCAGATAGCCCGCTTACTTCAAAAATTATACATTCCCAATAGGCGTAATAGATGGTTTTGTTTAAAACTCCATGGTATGGAACACAATAATTGGGAATAGATCAAGATTTTCATTGATGGAAATACATGAAAATAGTAGTTGAGTGGGAACAGAGGGTGATTAAAGTATGGCTAAGGCTTTCCTTTTCGGATGTAGGCGTTCAAAAATTGGGCGACCAAGTATAGCTATTAAGTACGGGGAGCAGCCAAAAAAGTATGCGGGGAATACCGATGGGACTGAAAGAATTGAGGCAGTTAGCAACGAAATTTACGGGGACGCATCTGCTGACGCTGTCCATGTTGAAACCTTATCAGCCGAGGACGAATATGCGATGCTGGATGAAGCATCACTACCTCAAGTAGTGCGTAAATCCTACGAAGGGGCAGTTCGCTACGCTTCACTTCTATGGGCTAGTCCACCTGACCAAAGTCTGGAAAAAGCTACAGAAGATAAGGCGATGATCCCATCCCCACCACTTGTACCTCCGAGACCCAAATATAATGAAATCACGAGGCCCCTGATTCGGTAAAAAAGTACATCATACTCTCCCCTCCCACTCTTCATTTCTACCAAATTGTTAACAAAATTTTTTACATTAAATAGCAAAATATAATGCCAACAAACAAGCTCCAATAAAATCTACAAGATACTAATCCTAGCCTACGGAATAACTGTTTTTGAATATGTGCACTGTTTAGTCTTTTTGCTAGTAGTATCTTCATTCGATTAATTCAGGTACTAGATTCGGTAATGGGACTAACTTGGATCACATCTTTCGCGTGTTAATAGCTTCCTTAACGTAGTGCATAAGATAACATAAGTTGATTAATTTGCCTGTATCTCATCTACAGATCGCCCTTTGTGAAGAGAGGAAGCCAAATACCCTTGCATGATCGGCCATCGAAAAACATTTATGAACGCACAAAGGATGAAAAAATGGAAGAAAGGCGTGCACCTCTTCCGTGTAAAGTAATGAATGCGAACTTAAAATCAAAGACTATCGTAAGGCGAATCCTCCAGCCCTAAAACAAGTAAATAAAATTATCTGCTGTCCGGCATTTTTTTTTCATGAGTCCCTCAAATACTTGATCCATACTAGGCCTAAATCACTTCATGCAGTTAGCTCTAATTAACTCACTAAAAGTTACTTTTGAATTTTCAAAAGTTAGAACTTGTACACGGGGATCCCTACGAGTACTAATGCATTCATACACCGCTAACTAATTGGGAATACTTAGGTATAAACTCTTTAAAAGGCTACACATTAGTACCCTTGCGTTCTGCTCAGTAGAGCCCAAATTTAGATTTCTTTTGCCTTGCGACATGCAACTATCTGAACTATCTGTCACCTCAAGAATGATGTTGAATAAAAATAAACTGTATTTAATTAATTTAAACTTAAAAAGGGCAGTGTCAGAATGAGCCCTTAACCATACCCATAGCCTCCAAAGCACTGCATGCTAACCACAAATCTCTCATCCAGATGTGACATATGACGACATATTGCCATTGCCATGTACACACATGCGTGTAGCACCCAGAGCGAAAGTACGACTAGCGACGACTGAAGAACCCTATCACCAAAAGTACTAGGGGCACTGCCATGCATTCATGCTTGTTATGCTTATTATGCCATCTAACAATTTGTAATATGAATTTACAACTGTATCTGAAATATACATTCGTGCTGTAGTAACTCTTATGGCTTGCATCATTAATTCACCATTGCTAAATACTGGGTGTTCATCTCGTCTTAGAAAAAGCCAAATTGCTGTCGTGAAAAAGGTGTTTTAAACACACCAGTTAAGACACCCCATCCTAAAAAGGCAATGATTAAAAAAACATTGTAATGCGTTGGTAGTCTGCCTGACTCTGCATTTAATTAAGTGGGGATTTATGCCCCTACAGATTGTGATTTCCTGATTCCGTGATTTTCATGATTTCAGGATCATGACGGCAATCTCAGCTCAATATTACATTAATAATCTATCTTTTGTCATAAGCATATAGCCTTTCACAATTTTAAGAAAGGCAAAGGACCTAAAAGCATTTGTTGGCATTCAAACGTTGAATCGGAATGGGATGGAATATTTAAAGTTAATTTAGAGAGTAGAATTTGCAGTATTTCTGCCAGATGTCAACATGTTTCAGGCATGTAAACTCAATACCAAAAGAGAAAGCTGTTTTACGGTTCTTTTTAGCATCGAGGTATTACATTTCCTTCTTTGCCATTCATACGCTTAAAATATCTGTCACTAAAGTCACTTCTTAGTAAAGAGCCACAACTAAAAACTTTGACCCTAATTTAAATTGGGCCACACTATTAGTAATTAAAAAACGTATTATTTTTTTAAACAGTTCCGCAACAACCCAAAGCTTTGTTTTAATTCTCTATTTTGCTTCAAGGTTAGAGCCTAGAGCGGCCTTATTTGTAATACTTATGTTGTTTCGATGTTCCTTTCAGAGAGGAGGCGGGCCTACGTGTCGAGCCTCCCGACTGGGGAGTTGACGTCTTGCGACCCGGAGAAGGGTTTCGTGTCCACGCCTTCCTGAACTTGCACTTGCTTTCCCCATCTACTTTTCCCAATGCACATGACAAATCTAATCCACCTGGGTATTCTAAGAGTATGCTGACCAAGGAAGAGGTCCACGAGCCCCGTTCTGCATGTGTATCATATGTATTAAGCAGACGTTTACATCGTCTATGATGCTGCATAGTTTTTTACACTTGTATGTTCTTGTGTTTTCAATATGACATGCCTAATGATGTTCAATTGCAACAAATTTCTGATTATGGTTACTTTGAGTCTTTGTAACTGTCGTGTTGTGTGCAGTCCTGGAATTGTGCTCAACGTAGCACTCAATACAATTACCAAGCATGTGTAAAATCAATTGCACTTTATTTTCTCATATGGTAGAAATTTTCTCAGTATATACAGTAATGGGAGTCATGAAGGATGAATACCATTTGGAAGGTTGGGGTCGATTCTGTTATTCGCTACATATTCTAGAACTTGTTTTAGGAATTTGTTACAAACTTAAAGTGATAGGTTGGATTTACTCTTTCGATTCTCCGATTAGTGGTGCATAAAATAAATTCCGCCCATGACCTTTAAATTCGTTTCTTCCAGTTCCTTGAATGTTGGGATTCAAATTCTCTTTTTTGGTTTTATAATGCACATGGAGGGTCATACAAACTAAAGGCATGCACTTGTTACATTTTTTTAGTTTGGAAGTCAGTCTTACCGTGAACTGGACTAAACATCGAGGGCTTTTCTCGGTGCCAACTATAATTGAGAAAATGAGTGAAGCAGCGTCGGTACCTGTAAGGAATACTAGGTTCTTTGGCCTTCCCAATTTCATCTATACATGTGGTCAGCTATTTATATTCAGTTACCCAATGTTACGACGTTGCCTTTTAAGTTGGCATATATGGCTTACCTTTCTTCTACTACCACAGCTCATGTTATGTAACGATTGAATATCACTATCTTTTGCGGGCAGAGAAAAATCGGCTAATTTGATTCGAAGAGTAATTTTTGGCATCTGCAGTCACTGGAGCTGCTATTGAGATTGTCGTTTTTAGATTTATCGTCGGCCGTGATTATCAATACCATAGATTTAGGAAAAACGGAGAAGCTAATCGATTGGGAGTTGCCATCATCTGACCTTTAAGTTCCGCATTGGAAACTGATTTCTACTGGTTTTATTTTTCCCTTTTGGCACTTCCAACAAGCTATTTGACAATTCTTTCCGTACACAGTTTAAGTGATGCTGGAAGGTCATTGTGTCATTCGATACTCCTAAATTTCGGTTTTTCGTTGCTTTATTGCATTCTCCAAAAGAAACGATTTAATTTTAACATTTGTGTTTACTACAACCTTTTAGTAGATTCTAGGTACAGGATTTTAGTAACTTTAAAAAAACACGAGGAGATGGTTTTAATTCCTCATGGATTTATGTTTACATGAAAACACTTGGAATATAAACAACTATTGAAAAGTAACTTTAAGCTTACTATTGTCGGTTGGTAGCATCAGAAAAATTCCGCATTCGCTACGGTTGCCGTGATTGCATTTGCATTGGTCGGTCGCTATCGTATCACTTACTGGATTTTATGGTTGCGGCAGTGGAACAACTATTTTGATGGAATCCATATCATTTCTACTAAAGTGTATTGGCACTTTGCCACTCAGCAGATGAAGTTCAGTGGTAATTTGTCAGGGATACAGTAGTTAATTTTCAATAAGTCGAGCTAATATAACGTTTCGTGAGTTTTGTACGCTCTCAACAGGAGATTGGAAGTCAATAATTGCCCTTACTACTTTATTACGACGTTTGAGAGGATTCCTTTTATTTTGGAAAAAAGCGGGGTTAACCATCTTCATAACATGGTTTCTTGTGTTTTCATAATTGGGAGAATCAAAAAATTAAATTAAAAATATTTTGGTCTGACTTAAACACCGAAATCGACCCACGCATGGGGGGAGCTATTAACCACATGTAGATTAATTCTCCACATCCTACCCGGAAGAAAAAAAGGCCTTGTCTCAAAACTACCATAGCATAGGGAAGTCACTATCCGGTTTTACTATGATGGCTGCGTAGACAGCTGAAACTCACAAACAGTGATTCGTTCATGTCCTCAGTCAGAGGTATCTTATAACTGGATTTGATGGTTTCTTAGTGTTTATTGATGGACCATAAGAAGTTACCAGCATTAAAGTGTCGCACTAACAGCGAGGTATTTTCCAAATTTCAACAACTACTAGGCTGTCTCAAAGTCATGTACTTAGCTAGGTGGATTTGCCACATAAAACTGACTGGTTGACCGTGATATGCGTAAAAATAGGATTCGTCAGAATTAAGGTAGGATGAATACATATTCAATCAAGACTGTGAAAAGTAAATGCAGTTTTTTACGAAGGTCAAATAAACAACGGATGTTTACAAATGAATCCGATGAAGCAAAGAACGTTAGATACATGTAAATGATGTCCACATATCCATACCTGAGAAACTACAATTGAGTATTGCTAAATGAACATTGCGTCCTGTTTACGCGTGTGATATATTGCAGGATAGAAAATTAGTAAATATTGTTAGATTTACTAGACTGGTGATGTGTGATTTCTGTTGGGGACTTTCATTTCCTGCCTTCGAATGGAGGCTGGAGCTGAAGGTAAGAGACCCTTGTTGGTCAATTTGCAGTATTCAACTTCATAAGACTGTAGTTCCTTGTCGCGATCATATAAGCGAGTCAGAACTGTGATAACAACAAATATTGCCACAATAATACACACAGATGAGCCAATTCCTATCGTCACTGAGTGATCCTCATGGACATCGTCCCCGCATGTAACACCTAAGAATGATATTGAGGATTTGCTAGCATCATGTAAGTAAAGTCAAGCGATGTCATAAAACCCGTAGATTATCTTAGAGGTGGTCCGAACATCGCAGTGCATTGAGAGTGCAAACAGGTTTTACTTGGCATGTAATTAAAGTTTTATCAAAATTGTCGTGGAAATGAAACCTAGTCAACTTTCACTTAGAAATTAATCTTTTTGTGCTCAATAAGGTATCTAGTTCCGGAATGCGCGGATCGAAGAGAGCCTACCTGCTCCAGTAAACATGTCTTGATTAAAATCTCCAAACGACTGAAGTTTTATATGGCGCGTCGTGAGGACAACGTAGATTACGTTTGTGTCATTGAGGTAGATGCCTTGGTTCCCGGTCCAATTCAGAAACCCTTCTCTCGAATCAGCCAGGACTGATGTGAGGAGAATGTGTCTGCTGGAAGCGCATTGGTAAAAATCTCCCGCTCGTGCACGAAACCTCTCCATGTTTTTGCTGACTGCTATGAGTTCATTTTTACCTACAAAGTAAGCCATGCATTACTGCGGTGACAATGTTGTGAAACAAAACTCATTAAGAGTGTTTTTTACTATGACTAACCTACGATGATAAAAGAGTTGGAATTTTCTTTTGATACCTCCAAATGTCCGAGAATATGGTGCAGAGTTTTCAATTAAAGTTATTTTTATACTCCGTATGCACGTGCATTTGAAAATTGTTACCACTTGCCCATTATAAATGCAAGAGGTTATCATGCGCGACAAAACATCTTAACCACAAAATAGGGTGTACACACAGGATTTACCAAAATGCATTGTAATGAAATAAAAATCCTATGTCATCGTAAAGCAGGCTGTTAGTACTCTTCTACAGAATCTAATCCAATTTTTGGAGTTAACGATGCAGCACGTACACTAAAGCATAACCAACGGACAGAATGAACTTGGCACCGTTGGCACTTTATCAAATGACTCCAAGGCCCTGAGTGGGCTATCGTTGGGGTCTGCTGTTTTCGAAAGGCATTCACGCTAGATTTTCTATTTTAAACGGACTTAGACAAACCGTAGAAATGTTCTTTTAGAAATACTTCCATAACAAATTCGCAATATCATCTTCGACAAAGTTGAGCGAAATAGATATACATTTGCAAATATTTATTGCAAGACCTATTTTTTCATCAAAGGCCCATTCATTTTTAGTAAGCATGTTTGGAATTCGGAACTATTCGCATTATTAGACCCACTTTTGACATGAAATTTCCGATCAGCCCTTGTGAACTAAATTGATGCAGTTCAGAATCTCTTCAACTTTGGAATTACGGACAAATATCATTTACTACTACGTGGTTTTACTGATTTGTCTATGTCTCCAATAATTTGACTAAGTAATCTAACAAAGTGATTAATGGTAACCTATACAAACCTGCCATATAAGTATCAGTTTGAGCATTAAGTACCACTGAGAGTGTTTTAATTGTAAATGCCTACCTTTGAGTCGTCCCCGAATATCACTCGAAATGATCAGCACAATTTCCACAAAAGGTGGGAATGAAGTAGTACATTTTTCCGTCTCAAAAAAATTCTAAAGTTGTGCTTATGTACCTGATAATTTCAACTAGCTCTGTGTTAACTTGTTACTTTAACAAATGTCAAAATAGGGCGCCTAATAGAATTGTGCAAGGCATTAAAGTGGCCCGTCTCATTTTCTCCTGATCTAATGTCTCAGCCATTTACAGTAATGGGTATAATCACGATAGACTCACCGATGGCTGATTGGGATTTGGAGAACGAGGAGAGACAGTACGTAAGTTGGATTTTAGTGAGACTGAAGGTACCCGAAAGTGCTCCAAGATGGGCACCGACACTACTCCACCCTACCTCTCCGTCCTCATAGTACTCGGGCTTACGACTCCATGTAAGCTCCAGCATCCATGGGACGCCGCCTTCCACAGTGTCCAAATAAACGCCCATCTTGCGAGTTCTGTTGCCACAAAAAGTCATGCCAGCTTCCGAAATTATTACTAGGCTGGTGTAATTACGCTCCAGCTTCTCCTTCACCTTCTCAATCTGAAGTGGCCGTGATGCGTTCCTTGGGGTTACGGCGGGGAAGTCAGATGAAGTGGCCGTAGGTGGTGCAAGTGAAACAATCTGACAGTTCAACTTCAATTAAAAAATGTTGTTTTCTCACAGTCCACCTTATTGCAGCAAGTAAATATGAAATGCTACAAATACTTTCATTTGGCTTTCACCTGTGTCAACAATTAGTCTCGTAAAGCCGATTTTGGCTTGTCCATTAGTGAAGGATTTAAAGCCTCCGAGCTACTTAAAGCCCAACTCCCGCAGTTATATTAAGACGGTTCCATAGATTATGATTTAATGATCCCCATAGTCGCACCATTGGTATGGACCTACAACTAAATGATGATATATATTAAATGGAATGAAAAGAATGACTCATTCGTAATCTGAATTATATTTAAGGACGTGGGATTTTCGGCAGTGTTATTTGGCTTTGGATAGTTTGCTGTAGTAAAGAGACTTGTTTTTAAGGAAACACTTGGAATACTCCAGTTTATGCACCCGAGAATGAAAATCGGATCAAATTTACGCATGTACCCTGACGGCCAGATGCCGAAAACTGATTCGCAAATAGCAAAACCATTACTCATGGGAAAAAAATCAGTTCCGATTCGATGGAATTGATAGTGCGGGCGAGACGACGATTCAACTAAATGGTTATTGTGGATTTTATGCCGGATCCTTTCTCGACAACCCGACATATAAGATTTAGTCTTATGAAATGATACCTGTTTTGCAATGAGTAATCCTGTTTTCACAGGAAGATGCGTTAAGCTTAAAGAAGATCTAAATTTAAAAAAATGCATTAAATAATACTTCCTACGTTTAATTCAAAATTGTCCCTCTTCACAGTCCACATAAATGTAATGTAAGAATTGAGAATGTATAATAACTACTTTAGTTGATACCAACTAGTTTGCTCAAAATTTGGCCGTCATTCAATTCCAGGATTCCACCACCAAATTGAACCACTGCTTACACACGAAGATGTGGTATTACAGACTTCAGCAACGTATTCGATTATTTCAAGTGCTAGATATCCATGAGCACAAATAAGTATGTTCAGCTCAGAAAATGAATCTTCACCATTACCCATCCGAGCTGCATTAATTCTTTTCTTCAAAAAGTGTAATTGACTCAACATTGTACTGTTCAGATTGCGTGATATGACCGAGGTAACCCGAATGGCCCACGGAAAAACATTGGTGCCTTGTTCTGTTTAGACAAATGAGCCGATTAATTTGTCATTATAGCTATATGTTTTTGGCAGGGAATCTCAGATGTGATTATTTTGGTCCCAACTTCAAATAAGTAGAATTAGTTTTAATGTTATTTAGAACTTACAAGAAAGGAGTCACCAAGTATCAGCATTCTTACCAAAACGCCATGTTTTCTTTTCCACCAAAACCTGACGTTTTGATATAAATGCTAACACCTGGATGAAAATGAAATATTTCGCTACTAGCATTTATTAAATCAAGCAACTATAGAGACTCGACAAACTATGATAAGCCTTGGTATAAATGCATCACATTTAGTCCCCTTGGTCTTCCAATTCATTGGATCGACAGGTGAATCCGGTGAAGTGTGTTGAGGCCATCTTCTGGTACTTCCCCAAATCTAACATTCGCAATCATAACTTCCCTCGTATGAAGTGCGTATTCGTTCAGATGTAAAAAATTTCAGTTGGTGTGCTGTTGAACGTGCAACTCGTCCATCAAGAATTAGTCATACGGAAAGGAATCTTAGCAATCGAAATATCGAGGTCTATTATTTTGTAAAAAATAAACTATCCGATTTTAAAAACCCCCCTATTTATAATCATTCCCCCCAGAAGGATTTTTCATGTCTTCATAACATCTATAATGCTCTCAAGTAAACGTACCTTCCCATCTTTTCCGGCGTAGAGGAAGCTGAGGTGTGCTTGCATTTCCAACAGCATTCCTATCATAGACGCGTCGTGAGGGCACAAGCCCAGATAGCGGTAAGATGGAATCGACTGCCAAATTCGCTCGTATGTGGAGTTAGCGCTATCGCCAGGGGTCTGGAGCAGTTTCAAGCATTGGTTTATTGCCTCTCTACCCTCTCTTTCTTGCGCCTTTCCAGAGGTATCCACAACCATCCCTGCAGAGTTGACGCACCACATAATGTTTGATGTGCCTAATGTAAAAAAGTAAACAAACTACTTTTATTTCGTTCTGCTGAAGTATTCCACTTGCCCATTTGTCAATAGTAAATTTAGGTCGAAATTTGGGTTGACATTGGCAGGAAAAACAATTTACTATTTCACGATGGCGTACCACCTAACTAGCCAATTTCCAACTTATTTTGGCGTTGATTTTGTCAGTAGCTCCACCAGACTTAACTGATGAATCACATGGTAAAAGAAATCCATTGTGCCCCCTCCCAAGTTTTATGACAAAACACC